TAATCTCGGAGAACATAAATATTTAAATGTCACGCGTCACGCGTCGCGACCTCACAGCCCCGTGTTGTGACTGTTGTAATAAGAACCGCTCAAACCCTGGGAACTCATGGAAGCTGTGGATTGTCACTCAGAGGCAGGAAGCACGCGGGGCATGCCAGCTGGAATCCGGGAGGCCATTCTCTCGTGGGAATTTGAAGCTCGCGAGTGGACATTCGGTTGAGATCGGAAGCAAAGGGTGATTTCTTTCGTGACGCTGAAAGTCAGGCATCTCTCTATTTTTCCAGACAGACGGACTTCGTGAGAGATGGGTTAATATATAGAGTAATTATTGGGGTGGTTAGACAGACGGACGGATGGATGTACGAATAATGGTTGAGGTTGTAGACAGAAAGATAGGTAGTTAGGTATATAGATGAAGACAAGACAACAGGTAGATAGATAGGTAGCTAGACAGACCGACTTAGAGATCAGATGGTAGGCAGGTAAACTGCGCACCATGCAATATCTGGGTAGTAAACGAGGGCGGTGTCATGTTGACCTCCTCACCTACTGAGTTCCGATTGGTCTATAAAACTGTCTCTAACATCGTATGCCCGATTCAGCCTGACGTAAAAAGGTTTCTTACCTCTAAGGCATGCGTGCATTGTAAATTACTTCATCTTATGTGTGTCCTTTCAGTAATACAAGTAAATTAAAAGTAATGGGACCATATTCCATGCCAACAAACGTATTCTTGGTTAGGCCTTTATTTTGTAAAGAGTAATCGGCCCTTGATGGCACCCACTCAAGGCTGGTTGACCCGAAAGCCAAGGTAATTTTTTTTAGAAAGTAGAAGAGGCTCCGTAGGGACCCGAACCCACGACTTTCCGATCTGCAGGCGAGGGTCTAGCCGCTATACCACGGCGGTCCCCCCCCCCCCCTTTTTATAAGTAATAACTTTCTTTTATTCCACAAGGGAGCCAGTACTAGCTTCCCTTCAGATGGTTTGCGAAACGTCTTTGGCCTAAGTAAAGAGATGTGGCGCCATTTCTTGCCAGGTCTGCCGAGTCCTGACTCCAGCAGACTCATTCTACGAGAAGCTATTGTCTTCATTTTCAAAGCGCATCAAAAACTCCTGATGAGTTCATCAAATGATAGTGCAGCGCTATAATGCTACATGGGTGACTAACGCATTGACTGAAGTTTATAAGTCAACCGGCAGGCCGTGAGAGGTAGCCCATGTCATGGCGCAGCAGGCATGTAAGTGCTAGACTCACGCCGACCGCCTTTACTTTCCAAGATTTTTCTTGCTGACCATTTTATACTTGTCGACCTAAGAGCCGTATTATGTTTGAAGAAAACAATATGACTCAGTGTGGATTTAAACCCAGGATCTTTGGGCCGTTGGTGAGCTCCTAGCAGCTGCACCACCACAGCGTCGTTTTACTTCTCTACAGTAACACATATGTGTTCCATGCTTACGTTCTGTTTTATTTCACGTACCTGTAATTATCTATGTATGTCTTTTCATTTATCTTTGCTTTTTATATTGGCTGATGAAGGCTTGTAATCTTTTTTATAAAAGTCTAGTCATAATCTCTGTAAAGCTGATTGTCCACACTAAGAGTGAACTCTTTTTTTCTCTTAAGGGAGAGCTGTGGAGCTGTGAAATCTGTATTCTGCTTCGCTGAGCTAGCACAGCTGGATTCAATGAAAGTCAACATACAGTTGAACTACAGCAAGGGGCTTGTCAACTTGCCAGATTGTCTTGGCCTGCCCAGTAAATTGGACAGCTCTGCTTCCTGTGTGGAATCAAACCATCATGATTTCTCTACTGTTCAAGTTAGAGGTGTGTTATTAATTTTTATAGCATGTAAAACAGTCGTTCACAGTCTAGAACTACAGTGTTGAAATGTTGCTTGCACATTTTCATCTTTCAGGTGATAGTTTTGTATTATCCTCTGGAGAAAGCGGTACTTGGTGGGTGATGTGGTCAGCATGACATCAGACACTTTTACTTCCCTGGACTCTACCTGGTACCCGCTCCAGACTGGGTTGACCTGAGAGCCAAGGCCATTATTGAAATAAAGTCCGGCTCCATCAAGACACGAACCCACCACCATCTGATCTCCAGGCGAGCATCTAGCTACTACATCATGGTGACTCCCAGAATCACAGCATGCTAGTGTTCAAATGTGCGAGGCCACCATGTAAATTTATTAAAGTTTTTTTTTTAACCATGTAAATGATATAGGATTATAATTTTGATGTCAAAATTGTCTGATGTGTCAATTTTTAAAGAGAAAAAAAAAAGCTGCCAAATTTATAAAAACTGTAAAAAGCTGAGTGGCCTCAACAGCTGGGAAACAAGAGATAGATCTAACACAAAGGTTATTGCTTCCCCTATATTTTGCATCTGTAATTGCAGCTTGAAAATGTGAAGGTAGTCCAGCAGCAACAATTCATAGCTACCCCATCCTGTCCAATAGAGGGCACTTATTGGGTCCTTTGTAGGTAGGGATTCACCTACATGAGAACAGATATGCTGTGTAGACCACTAGACTAGCAGACCACTAGACTTTTATACCATCATCTGCCTGCACATCCGTTTGACACATCTGTCTTATTTGCATGCAGACTGTTGGTTCCTCACTTTTCAGGCACATGCACTCCAAATTTGCCTTTTATGTCATGCTTTTTAGGTGGCAGTGGGTCTATCCCCACCCCCCCCCTATCCCCCCCCCCCCCCCCCCCCCACCCCTTTCTTAAAGTGGAAGTCTCTGAGCCCACACTGGAAACCCCAGGATAGCATGTGGACTTGACTAGACACACTCCAGGAACAGTTATACTTTGAAGAGATCATTAACATGTTCACACAACTGAAAGGCAAAGTTTTCACAATATGATCAGAATATTTATGATCTGAGTGTCTGCAGACAAGAGCTTTCTCCACTAAAAACCCACACAGCAGCTGTTCAGTTGTGTCCCCTCCTGATAGCTTTTTGAGCTGCCAGATAGTTGCCCCTTGTTCTTGGTTCAACATAAAACAAGGCTCACCAGGTTTGACCTTATCAGCCTCATTTTGTTTATGTGTTTGTGCCCCTCTTCAGCTAGCTTGAGCAGACCTAGTGGTGACAATTGAGGTCATTAAGTGAAGGATAACTGCCTCTGTTCCTGTAATGAATGCTGAAGCAGTTAGTTATTTTGTTTATTCTGGTAGACAGAGAATACCATCCCCTATATAAGTACTATTTGTGTGATCACTGTTATTGATAGCTTCGTTGTGAATCTTCATTTCATATACAGCTGGCTACATCAGGGCAGTACCTGCTGTAGCCATTACCAGGGCCCTAATTATATTATTCCTAAGGAGTTTTAAGGTTCTATCTGTTAGGTTGTGTTATCTGAGTTTGAATGTGGTATCTGTTAGTTTGTGTTATCTGAGTGTGAATGTGGTATCTGTTAGATTGTGTTATCTGAGTGTGAATGTGGTATCTGTTAGGTTGTGTTATCTGAGTTTGAATGTGGTATCTGTTAGTTTGTGTTATCTGAGTGTGAATGTGGTATTTGTTAGGTTGTGTTATCTGAGTGTGAATGTGGTATCTGTTAGGTTGTGTTATCTGAGTGTGAATGTGGTATCTGTTAGGTTGTGTTATCTGAGTGTGAATGTGGTATCTGTTAGGTTGTGTTATCTGAGTGTGAATGAGGTATCTGTTAGATTGTGTTATCTGAGTGTGAATGTGGTATCTGTTAGGTTGTGTTATCTGAGTTTGAATGTGGTATCTGTTAGGTTGTGTTATCTGAGTGTGAATGTGGTATCTGTTAGGTTGTGTTATCTGAGTTTGAATGTGGTATCTGTTAGGTTGTGTTATTTGAGTTTGAATGTGGTATCTGTTAGGTTGTGTTATCTGAGTGTGAATGTGGTATCTGTTAGGTTGTGTTATCTGAGTGTGAATGTGGTATCTGTTAGGTTGTGTTATCTGAGTGTGAATGTGGTATCTGTTAGGTTGTGTTATCACAGTCAGCAGCACTGCTGAGTGGGGATTCCTATGTAGTCTTAATTCTCCTGTGCAGTGGCTATCCATATGTGCTTACAATGAAATGAGCCTCTTATTTTTACCTTGAAGAAAAAAATTATTAAGACTATAAATAATACAAGGAGGGAGCTGTTTGAGTTGCATGGGTAATGAAACCTTGAAGAAACTTGAGTCGCCCCCACCTCCCCTCCCAATTTTGTTTAACTAAATGTTTTGAAGGCAGTCTTGAGCATGAGCATGAGCATTCAGTTCCCTGAGCCATGACAAGAACTTGCATTTATGCAAGTGAGGTTGGTGTAAAGCAGTAGCACAGCCTGTGATATCTGTGTTTTTCGGCACAACACATCTGATTTTAGCAAATTCGTAATTAATCACCTTTTACTGAGTGCTTGTTAAGGAGCAAAATTGGGCCCTGGAACCTATATGAGAAGCACAGCATTTTATCACATATGGCTTGATCTCATTTTGCAGAACTACTTGTCGTCTGTTGACAGCATGGCACAAAGCATGAACTAAGTAGCTCCAGCAAAAACCCTAAGGATCTTAGTACAAACAGCACCTGTGAAATGAACCCATAACCTTCAGAGCATGAGGCAAATGATGTAACCATTAAACCTTGGAGACCCCTCATAGAAACATATTAAAGTTTAGCAAACAGTTACCAGTTTACTATCATATTTGCAGCCACTTTGTACCAATTAAATGCTACAAGTGCAAAGACGTCTGGTCAGACATTTTGTGTGTTTAAGAATTGATTGCTGTATTAGAATATCATATGTTTGATATGTTTGATATGTTTGATATGTTTGATATCATATGTTGGCACACATGGCACATTAGAGATATGATGGACAGTTTTTACACCAGCCTTTTTTCTCCTCCTCTAGACCTGTTTTGTTTTTCAGCTTCAGGTTTTGAAGAGGTATAGCATGCCAGCCTTGGTATGTACTGAGTAAATGCTGATATTTATGACCTCAGATATAATATTCCATTAACCACAACATAATATTCCCCTAAGGATAAACACAGAAGAAGAAGAAGAAAGAAGAGGAAAACGAAGAAGAAGAAACCCTATGAAAAAAAAAAATCCTTACAGCTTTAGTAAACTTGATTGTTCTTTATGTCTGACATATTTAGACGACTGCTACATGGAGAAAGGGCGCTGGTACAATGGAACTGTCAACACCACTAAATCAGGGCATGCTTGTCAGGCCTGGCTGGAGAACTTCCCACATAAACACAACCGCTCACCTCTGACCTTCCCCGAGCTGCTGGGGGCAGAGAACTTCTGTCGTAACCCAGGTGGTGAAGAGGAGAGGCCATGGTGCTACACCACCCACAGAGAGATTCGATGGGAAGTTTGTGACATTGATCCTTGTGGTATGAGACTTATCATGTGTTGTGCTGTCTTCATTCTTCCAATTGTGCTTCTTTCAATTCATTTAAATTACTTTTGTTTCATCCCTTTTATGTCTAGTCTCTATAATCAGTTGCCTTTTGCTCATAAGTCGGCATCTGTGGCTTAGGCCTTACGAACGTGCTTTATAATGCCTGAGTGCTGTGTTCAATCCCAGCAGCTGGCTTTTTGTTGGTTTCAACAGTGGTATCGAAAAGCCGACCATCCAGAAAGCAATGGCAAACTACTGGATGTAATCTTTCCTAGAAAAACCACAACAGCCAAAAAATGCTGGGGTTAGTTCTGCAGCGTCCTGTAAAGGATACACAATTAACTAACTGTTGCTCATAAACTTTAGCACTAACCCTTTTACTCTATAAACATCTTTTCAAAAAGAAATTTTTTTTTTTTCAAGAATTGACTTGAAGAGAGGAAGAGGAAGTAGGCAAAATTGAAAGTCTTTGTCGGTTTTTTAAATAAACATTTAGGGAGCTGAAACCTATAACTATGGAGCAGACAAGTAAACTAAAAAAAAAAACAGGATTTTTTCATATTTAGAATGTTGTTGAAAGTTGATTTAAGAATTGACATCACAGCACTTGTAACACCCTTATAAGTGCTCCGTCCCCATCTTCATCAGCAAGCGAAGAGCTAAAATTCCGATGGTACCAGTAACTGTCTGATTGTATATCCGTCTTGCCTTTCCCTTGAGTGTCGAGCGTCGGCCAGATCCCCTTGTAACTCCTCGCAGTGCCATCCTCCTCAGATCAAAATGATCTATCTGTTCCTTGGCACTGTTCACTCGCTCCCAAAGAGCCCTCACAACATCCAGCTTGTCATACACCAAGTGGTGCAGAACCGGCCAGTCTATCTGCCTGCTCATTTCCCAACACACTGTATCCCTGGAGAAAATATTCAAAGGATGCTAACTACCCGGGATCTCTGAAGTGATGCTTGCCACTCTGCACGGAGCATGCTCTGTGAGTCAGTGACAATGGTGACGTGTGTACAGCTGATTCTCAAACCAGTGGAAGGCAGCAGTGACTGCCTCCACCTCCATTCTCAAACTAGACGTTGTGATATCATATGCCAGGCTTTGTTGCACCAAGTGATGTCCATTTACCTTGGCTATGAACCCTCATGCACTATGGCTGCCCCTCAACATAGGGGGGAGGGGGGGGAGGGAATTTTAATGAATCATTTGTTTAAATTCTGATTCTGCAGCACCAGCTGCATGGTCATCAAACAGCCAGAAAACCGGCTTTCTCGGGGCGACAGCTTTAAACTACCCCTAGTGATCAGATGGAAACTCTGTGGTATAGATTTTGCCAAATCTTTGCATTGATTCCAACAATATGTGAGTGTCAAACAATGGCAAACAACTGAACATAAAATTGCCTAGTAAAACCTCAAAACTGCCAACAACCTGCTGGTTAAGTTTGTGCCATCTTGTAAAGGATATACAGCTTACCTTGAGAATATGCATGTATTGCATAAGATGTTCTTTGTGCAGAACAATACAAGTAGAAATTTAGAACAAAAACTAGGCAGCTATGTATGTTATCTGTGCAGATGTGAAAAATGAAGACACCAGCAACTACCCAAATGTGAAAAAAGAAGGCAAGAGTGACACAGACACTGACGATGATGACTTGAGTCTGTTGTACATAGTTGGAGCCTGCGTTCTGGTGACTGTGTGTTTTGTCACTGGCATCCTTTGCTTTGTGCTGCGCTGCTACAGACGTATCCGATACAGTGCTACTCCACAGGATGACCTTGACATCAATGTGGAAAGTCTACCAATAAATTCAGCTTATCATCAGGTACTGTTGTGTGATGCTGTCTGTGATTACAGAAGTATGTGATGTATTTGGGTACTGTCATGTGATTATAGAAGTCTGTGGTGTAATCAGATACTTGTTGCAGGTACTGTCATGTAATACTGTCTGTAGAGACAAAATTGTGTGATGAAATCAGATAGTGCCTGTGGTTACCAAAGGGTGTGGTGTAGCCAAGTAAATTGTGTGATACTTTCTGTGATTAAAAAAAAGTGTGTGATGAAATCACGTGTTATCGCATGATATTATTGTCTGTGATTATGGAAGCATGCAGTGTTATCAGGTGCTGTCCTGTGGTTACAGAAGTGTCTAGTGTAATCAGATGTCCTCATATAATATTTCTGCCTGTGATTACAGTGTAATTAGGTACAGTCATGTGATAGTACTGTCTGTGATTACATATGTGTGTAATACAGTTAGGTACTATGATAGAACACATTTAAATATAAGAGGGATCCCATAGCACATAAACAAAGAGATAAATACCTAGGTAATTTAGCCATATGGATGGAGTGGGGGGGGGGGGGGCACACAAGAACACTAACTTGATCTGTAATTCTGGTGATCATATGAGATGGCTAAATAGGACAGCCTACACTTATCAGTATGGCACATGATGATGATCATTGTCCATGTTTTGAGGTTTATTGTGAACTCAGAACTGTTGTGGTCAAAGAGAAGCTCAAATCCTGCTACTGCTGGAGTTTACACCCCAAAACATCACGTTGGTAGGTAAATCTAAAATCAGGTTGTTCATATATTATCATCATCATCCTCACTGTTGCTTTTACAGTCCGTGCTATGTTTCATTGGTATTTATGTCTATCCCCAGCCGTGTTGTTATTTCTGATGTGTTCTCCCATGCAGTGATGCCATTTTGTCCAGCACCTTCTCTCTTGGTCTTCCTTTTCCACTGTAGCTTTCCTGTTGTCCCCATGGCAAAGTGGTCAAGGTTTTGGGGGTTGTTTCTCAGCTGCGCCTTCAGTTCACGAGTGCAATTTTTACTGAGATCTCTGAGGATCGTTTCCGGAGCTACGGAGTTAATGCTTTATGCGACACTCTCAGCAGGAAGCTAGCTGTTCTGTGGAGCGAGACCAAGCCATTTGGGATAAACTGTGGTGCAATGAAATTGATACTCTCGACTTTAACTTTTTTTTTTACATTTTCCTGAAATGCCTAAAGAAAGTAGATTTTTGGCGGTTGGGGAGGGGGGGGGGAGATACTAGTAATCAGTTCCCTTTACACGTTAACTGTATTCCAGATTTTTGTATTATTCTCTGTATTATTCTGTCTATACTGTTTTCATTATTATTTTTACAGTTATTTAAAACCAATGTTTTAACACTGCACAAGTACATATTTCATTGCACAAGTGCATATTTCATTGCACAAGTACATATTTCATGACCTATGATGGGGGCAACTATAAGAAGGCAACAGTGTTCTTTGGTTGTATCATCAGAAGAGAAGAACTTGGAAATGTGATAACTGGAAAGAACAGCAGAGCTGTGTTATTCAAGCCGTTAGATATTTGTTAAGTTACCCTTGCCAGCAGTAATTTTTTGCTTCACTAAAACAGCCTTGTGCTCTCTTTTCAGATGAAATCCAATCGTCTGAATCCAAAGCTAGAAATCCTGGAGTTTCCCAGGAATGATATCGTCTTTATAGAGGATATAGGGCAAGGTGCATTTGGGCGTGTCTTCAAAGCAAGAATTGTGTGCAGCAATGGGAACTGCCACATCACAGGAGGGAGGCTGACTGGTAGCAAACACAGTCTCACCTGTGGAAAGAACTGTAAAAACACCAGAACTCCCTTTGACAGTAAAGGGGATCTCAGGCACTTGGAAATTCATCCTTCCAAAAACTTTGACTCCAAACTGTTGGTAGAGCATCTGTCGAATTTGGGTGATTATGACAAAGGTGATAGAGACATCAAGAGTAACGAGGGGCAGCTCATTGCTATTAAAATGTTAAAAGAAGATGCTTCTGAGACTGTGCAGGCAGACTTTGAAAGAGAGGCTTCTCTGATGGTAGAGTTTGACCATGCAAATATAGTTCGTCTGTTGGGCGTCTGCACTGTAGGAAAGCCCATGTGTTTGTTGTTTGAGTACATGAGTAGAGGAGATTTAAATGGATTTCTAAGACTTTGCAGTCCAGACCAGTGTCTGAGACAAAACAATGCAAGATTGAATCCATCGGAACATTCTAGCAGCATCAGTGTTTTAGACCAACTGTACATGGCACGCCAGATTGCAAACGGGATGATTTATCTCTCTGAAAGAGGGTATGTCCACCGTGACCTGGCTACCAGAAACTGCCTTGTCGGTAGCAACCTCACTGTTAAAATCTCAGACTTTGGCCTTGCCAGGAGTGTTCATAGTATGGATTACTACCATGGCAGTGATAAGGATGCCATTCCGATACGATGGATGCCTCCAGAAGCTATTCTGTACAATAAATTTTCTTCACAATCTGATGTGTGGTCATTTGGAATCCTGCTGTGGGAGATCTTTTCCTTTGCTCTTCAGCCATACTATGGAATGACTCATGAAGAAGTTATTAACTACCTCCGAGCAGGAAGAGTCTTAGCTGCTCCAGATAATGTGCCATCTGCAGCCTATGAACTGATGAAGTCTTGCTGGCAGAAAAAACCTTCATCTCGACCAAACTTTGTGTTCGTACACAAATCCCTGACTTTTTTGCATGCAGAAGTAACGAAACAACAGACAGTGAATATGTTGAGTTCATAGTTCTTTGTTGACATTGTGCAAGCTTTTCTAAAGACACTTTAGTGTACATTGTGCAGGTAACACATATCCTCATTGAAAAGAAACATATAGCCAATGGAGCATGGAATCTAATAGAGCAGTCATACTCTGTTCATCTTCAGTACAATTATATATGATGGTAGCTATATATGACAGTTGCAATACTGTAACAGTATACAGAGAGGTTGAATTTTCCTTTAAATTGATAAATGTACTTAAATATTAACATTTGTTTTGTGTATGGTATCACAAAAAAGGCAAAATGTTAGATGGGCCTGTGTGCCCAATTCTTAACCCTTTGAAAATAATGATTGTTCGTTCATTCATACCTATTTCTGACCTCTCCATACTTCTGTGTGTATTTCAGAATGTCAGACAGTATGGCTGGCCCGTGCAGTTATAAGATTAATTTGACCAATTAGTTGCATACCTCTCTTCATGATGTCACAAACCAATCCTAGCATTTATTGTCTTTTATGTAGTTTTATTAGAAAATGATACACTCAGTAGTTTGTCATTGCTTTCTTAATGGTACAGCACTCATACTATCAATGCAGAGCAGTCTGTTCTAAAATAAGTAATCAAAGTTAGTTATGTTTATAATTCCTTGTCTGCCTAAATTTTTGGCTTTTAGTCATTTTATTGAAGACTGTCAGTTTCATATCTTTGCTTAATTAGCTCTTAGGGAACCACCGTAGTGTAGCTGCTAGATGCTTGCCTGTGGATTGGAGGTCGTGGGTTCAAGTCCCAGCGGAAACAGGCTTGGTTTTTTTAATATTTTTTAATGACCTTGGCTCCCAGGTTGACCCAGGGTATCAGGCGAAGTCCTGGAAAGTAAAGGTGACCAGCATGATGTTGACAACATCATCCTATGAGTGCTGATTGGTCTATAAAATATAGGTCTAGCCCGATATGCCCAATACGCCTGAAGTCATGGAAAATAGTCCTTGAATTATCACTTACCATTCCGAAACATCGTTTTACAAAATATCTTTTAACACTTATTACCAGGGCTTTTTTTTTCCATGAAAGATTAGGTTCCGGTACTCACCTTAAAGTGTCTTTAGAAGAAAGGTGCCATTACCCATCACACAGTGTCAGTGACATAACTCTGAAAGATTATGATTAGAAAAAAGTGTCTTTACTGTCTGCCATTGAGTACAGCTAGAGGAAAAAACTACCTTAGCGCACACGTGCGCACGCACACGCACACACACACACACACACACACACACACACACACACACACTTTACACTATATTTTGTTAAAGTAAGCCACATAATCTTACATTTGAACAGTATTTTTCACTAGCCATTTTAACTTTAAATATAATTATTGACAAAAAGCCCCATCAGTCAGTCTTTTATTGTGATTATTTATTCTAATATTCAAAATTAACAAATAATTGAAGATATATTTAAAAACACTGTGTGCTTATTGCATTACCTTATTTGACAACCTTTAAGGATGGTGTTCGGTGGGACCATTCAACTTAGTATACTCATGGGCCACAACTTTGAAAATAGGAATCTCCATGGTCTAGAGGCCCAAGCCCTGTGTTTGGCATTTGATCATTACATACACATTTTTGCTTGCCATATCTACGTACAGTCACAGTTTCATATGTTGGTTAGCCAAATCTAAAAACGCCCAGTTTTTCGTGTTTATTTACATCTACACTGCCCACACTTAAATTTTTTTCCACAAAAATTTAAACACATCCACAGCTTTATGTTTGTTGAATACATTCATTTGCAATCATCATCCCCTTTAAGATGCAAATTTTTGTTATTTTGAAGCCCTCCCTGGCTCTTGCCACGGGCCGCAATATAGCCCAGCCATGAATATGGCCTAATGACTGAGCGTGGTTTCTGTGACCTCTCCATCCGTGATCCTCATCCACATGGTGGCACTTTGTGTCATCTGGTTTTTATCACTTATGTGATGTCCTGGTAGGGTAAAATAACTACTACTTCATGTTTGTCTAACAAGTCTACATAAACCCACAGCTTCATGTTTGTTGTTTACCAAATCTACATGCACCCACACTTCATGTTTGTTTTTTTACCAAATATACATGCATCTACAGCTTCATGTTTGTTGTTTACCAAATCTACATGCACCCACGGCTTCATGTTTGTTTTTTTACCAAATATACATGCATCTACAGCTTCATGTTTGTTGTTTACCAAATCTACATGCACCCATAGCTTCATGTTTGTTGTTTACCAAATCTACATGCACCTACAGCTTCATGTTTGTTGTTTACCAAATCTACATGCACCCACAGCTTCATGTTTGTTGTTTACCAAATCTACATGCATCTACAGCTTCTTGTTTGTTGTTTACCAAATCTACATGCATCTTCAGCTTCATGTTTGTTGTTTACCAAATCTACATGCACCTACAGCTTCTTGTTTGTTGTTTACCAAATCTACATGCACCTACAGCTTCTTGTTTGTTGTTTACCAAATTTACATGCACCTACAGCTTCATGTTTGTTGTTTACCAAATCTACATGCACCCACAGCTTCATGTTTGTTGTTTACCAAATCTACATGCATCTACAGCTTCTTGTTTGTTGTTTACCAAATCTACATGCATCTACAGCTTCTGGTTTGTTGTTTACCAAATATACATGCACCTACAGCTTCATCTTTTTTGTCGACTAAATATACATACACCCACAGCTTCTTGTTTGTTGTTTACCAAATCTACATACACCTACAGCTTCTTGTTTGTTGTTTACCAAATCTACATACACCCACAGCTTCTTGTTTGTTGTTTACCAAATCTACATACACCCAAATTACATATTTCCATTCAAATATGTGACCAGTAGTAGGTTATGTTTATATCTTTGCCATTAACAAGTCTACATACACCCATGGGAGCTGCCATAATGTAGTGGCTAGATGCCAGTCGATCAGAAGGTCATGGTTTGAAATCCCAACATACGTTTGTTTGTTTACTTCAAATACACATATAGTTTCATACATTTGTTTGTTTACTTTTAATACACAAATAGTTTGCCAAATCTGTATGTACTGCTGATGTTGTTTTTTTTTAATTGTTTTTTTTTGTAAGTCAGAAATGTTGATATGTACTGATTTTTGCCGATGTTAATATTCATCTTCATTTTGTCTTTTTTCATCATTCTCATTGCTTCAGCATATCATTTTGATTTCATTCACTCAGCAGTGCCTCAAACTAAAAAAAAAAATTCCACTTAGAAAATATGGGTTGATCATTCTCATTACTTCAGTATATTATTTGATTACATCCACTCAACAGTGCCTCAGACTTTATAAAAACAAATGCTGTTTAGAAAATATGGGTTGATCATTCTCATTGCATCAGCATATCATTTTGATTTCATCAACTGGACAGTGCCTCGCACTTTATAAAAACACATGCTCCTTGGAATATATGGGACCTGCTGAAGTTGTGCAATATTACATTTCCATGGCTTGTTGTACGTGGCTGTAGTTGTTGTGTATTGTTGATTGTTGCCGTCTCTAAATAAGTTAACAAAGTCGTGACTTTGTTTTTGTCCATAAAAGTGCCAGATTTCACATTCAATACCTCATGGTTGCAGGTGTGCGACTGCTTCATTTATTTGTTTTTGTTAACATAATAACTGATATAATTTCAACAGTAGCAGGCCCAAAGGTGCTCACACTATCTCAGTAGGTGTCATTTTGTACCTCTCTTCACAGATGTAATAGTTGTAGTCATCAGTGCTTCAACTTCACCACAGACTTGTCAACTCGTAATTGCTCTGTTCCTGTACCGGTGAAAATCACATACAATGTCCCGGACTGTCTCATTTGCAAAACTTGTGAACAAACAGTTAATCCTACCAAAATCCAGAAATATGCATAAGGCTGTCGCTAGAGATGCCACAGTAGTAGTCGCTACTAGAACTGCAGTTTGTCTTTGATGGAAGTAAGTAAGTAGTCAGTCATGATATGCAGGCCACACTCACATGCAAATAGTGTTTAAGGTGTTTCACCAGCCCAAATTCAGATTGGCTACCTGCCATTTTCTAAAAAAGAAGGACACACATACTGTGGGAACAAAGGAAAAGCATTCCACACAACAAATGCAGCAAGTATTCTCATTCCTAAGAGCTATTATTGATTAAGAAGAGTTCAGAAGCATTAAGGAGAGTTTGGAGGCAACTGAGATGTGGTTCTTGAGAAAAATGTTGTGAATACCTTGGACTGCCAGAATAACAAAATGGCTAATGAAAGTAGAAAATTATATACAAAAGTGAGGAGACGACAAAGCTCTTTGGTCATGTTATGAGAAAAGGAGCACTGGAAAATATCGTGACGACTGGAAAGATCACTGGTAGAAGATGTAGAGGCAGACCAAGAGAAATGATAGTGGATGGCCTAAGACAGTGGCACGGGGGGATATCATCAGTGGAATTGATCCAGAACACCAATGACCGAGATCTGTGGAGATGCATGAACACCTACGCCAGCTGGCAAGGTACTTGATGATGATGATGAGGTGCTATTATTAGATACACTTAGTGACACCATGCAACAGGTTTTGTGTGGAAGTGCATTATTTACCGAACAATCTATTTTTTTTGGGGGGGTCTCCCTATATAGGTATTGCTGGTAGTATATTATTTGCCCTAGATCAGTGGCACTTAACCTTCCTAATGCCGCGACCCCCTAATACAGTTCCTCATGTTGTGGCAACCCCCTAATACAGTTCCTCATGTTGTGACAATCCTCTAATACAGTTCCTGATGTAGTGGCAACCCTCTAATACAGTTCCTCATGTTGTGGCAACCCTCTAATACAGTTCCTCATGTTGTGGCAACCCCCTAATACAGTTCCTCATGTTGTGGCAACCCTCTAATACAGTTCCTCATGTAGTGGCAACCCTCTAATACAGTTCCTCATGTTGTGGCAACCCTCTAATACAGTTCCTCATGTAGTGGCAACCCTCTAATACAGTT